CCCGCCCCCCCGCCCCGTACTAGTTAAATGTGACTTGTTTGCATATCAGAAGTGGCACTGAAATACTTTGTTTCTCATCTCAATACACTGAACATTTAAATGACATTTTCGTACATTCCCTACCCATCTTTTCTTCTCCCCACTGCCTTAGAGCGTACTCCTTCCACGTTAGCGCAGACGGTCAGATGCAGCCTGTCCCCTTCCCCCCTGATGCCCTCATTGGACCTGGCATTCCCCGACACGCTCGCCAGATCAACACCCTCAACCACGGGGAGGTGGTGTGCGCGGTGACCATCAGCAATCCCACGAGACACGTGTACACGGGAGGGAAGGGCTGCGTCAAGGTCTGGGACATCAGCCACCCTGGCAACAAGAGTCCTGTCTCGCAGCTCGACTGTCTGGTGAGTAAATGTGGGTGAATGAGATTTAGATCTTCATTCAGAAAAGAGGGAAGGAATGGTGAAAGAACCGTGTATATGAGTTACACCGCCTAGTATTGATCCCAGGTGGATGGTTTGTGGTCTTGCACTGGGAGGCATGTCTTCCGTTCCTTGAAGTAGAATGATTTAGTTGATGTGAGGCACGTCCACCTGTACGGTCTGCATTAGCCCTGCCGCCATGGGAAAATGTGAACCACTTGTCTTCCTTAAGAAACTAAAGGCTCACACCGTGGTTTCTGTGTGGGTACACCCAAATGTCCTCATCTCCGTGCATGTACAGAGTGACTTCGTGCTCCCTGTGCAAACCAGCCAGCCCCTTCACTGTTGCCTTGGCATTTATCCTTGAGTTACATAGGACAGTTGTTTGATCTTTCTTCCCTTAGTATCAGCAGTAGAATTTTTGTAGTAGCATGAGGCTAGATCAATGTAATGTAGCAAATACACATAAGATTCCTATAACCTCATGAGCTGGGAAGAACTTTATCCTTTTTTGATGAAGCTTTACTTGCCATTGACACAGCTTAATCAAGCCCATGATACCCTTAGTCATGTAATGCAGGGACAAGCACAAGGACCCAGCTGCCCGGTGTCCTTAATCCCCTGACGCTATCTTGGCAGTAGTAGCAGGACCTTTAAACAGCAGAGCACAGTACACCAGGTTTCCAGCTTTGGGGACACTAGGACTCTGCGAGCTCGTGTGTGTGTGTGTGTGTGTGTGTGTGTGTGTGTGTGTGTGTATCTATGTGTAAATGACACAAGTAGTTGGTTCTCGGTGGTGGGAATGGGTCCAGATCTTTGCATTTTGATGCTAATTGAGATTAAATATCTTGGTACTAAATTTCGTAGATCAAGTTTAAGTACTTCCCTAATTTCATGTAATTTTCTAGCATTAATCCACTTTATCATTGTCATAAGTATAAATGGCTCATTAAACCAGGAGGGAACACAATACTTTTATGGATTTCTGCTCTCGTGTTAATGCTGTTTTCCTTTCCTCATGAGTAACCTCTTGATGGTTTTTGTCTCTGCAGAACAGGGATAACTACATCCGTTCCTGCAGATTGCTCCCCGATGGGCGCACCCTAATTGTTGGAGGGGAAGCCAGTACCTTGTCCATCTGGGACCTGGCGGCTCCCACCCCTCGCATCAAGGCAGAGCTGACGTCCTCGGCCCCCGCCTGCTACGCCCTGGCCATCAGCCCAGATTCCAAGGTCTGCTTCTCCTGCTGCAGCGACGGCAACATCGCCGTGTGGGACCTGCACAACCAGACGCTGGTGAGGTAGGTCAGCAAGGGTCCATTACCAAGTCATGAGGAGCAGCTGCTTTTATCACACTGTGCCAAGCTGCTGTGTGTGGGGGGGTTCTACTAAGAATTATTTTACTAAAATTGTTGAGAGCAGGTTCGTATAAAGATGCTCCAAGCAAATGATTATTATAAAATCTTATGTTTTGCACAGTTAAACTTTGTAAAATGAGTTTTTTTTAGTTCTGTTTTTTCCTTTACTGACACATTATACTAAGTTCCCCCAATTTTGGCTTTAAAAGATGAGGTCAGTGTGACATAGTTAACGTATATAAGGTTCCCACCACCTCGCGAGCTAATTAGCTGTCTGCGGCTTGCCGTCTGTGCTTGCTAACAAGCCGTCGCTGTCAGGAGATCTCAGTGCGAAGGTTCACAGTGCATGACACTATCCCGGATACCTCATGTATCTGATGTGTCCATTTCTTCAGCAAATGTGAGAGGACTTCATAAAGATGGTTGGGAAAATGGAATTAAAGTATGACCTTGTTTTAGTGCAAATAATTTTCAAAATCTATGTACTATTTTTTCATAGTATGTATTTTCCATTACTTTTTTGAAGACCTTGCATAATTACTTAGCTTTTCAATAGACCCAGGCACTGTGTTAGGTACTGTTCACCTCAGAATGATCTAGATTATCTGCACTCCCATCTTTAAGCATGGATAGGATAGACATAATCACGATGTCTGCTCAGAAATCAGATTGCATAGAGTTGGTGGTAGGGGGTGAAAGCCTGAAAGGAGTCTCCAGATGTCAGCACCTGACAGGTCATCAAGCAAGGGAAAGGTATGACTTAAAGGGGAAGAGAGGGTTGTGAGCACATCGAGCTGGAAGTTAAGAAGAGCTTGTGAAAAACAGAGGCCTTTACTATCTATCCGTTAAGTCTTCAGTTCCAAAAACAAATTATGCTCATTGCTTACGGGTAAGGCTCATTTGAGGAGCTGCTGTCTAGCTGCTCTTATACCCACGTCCTCTTTGTCTTTCCACATGCCTTCCCTGAGAGCTGGCCTTTCTGTCTCGCACAGCCTTAACAGATGCCTTGGTGTTCACTGGCAGGACGTGTTCTGCCACTCTGTGCCAGCCCTGTCCTTTGTAGGAAGGAAAAATCAGTTCTCTTCCCTTCATTATCAAGTGATAGAAAAGGTCTCAGAATGTGTTTTTGATTGGTTCATATACAGTAGGTGTGTGTTTTCTTTTGTTAATTTCATTTGGGGATTTTTTTAAAACTATCAGTATTGTCAGTCATGTTTTAGTATGACAGTAATTTGAAGACCTTCCTAATTATTCAGAAGTAAATAAAACATCTTAGAAATCCAGCATCTCAAACTTTAAACTCTTTAAATGTGCCCTGTGCCATTACTTTGACTAATTAGCGAACATAATGAAAACAAAGTGAAATACACATATAAGGCCTGCATTGAACTGGATCAACAAGGAGTTCTAAATTGTGTTCCACTAAAAACTAAAGTTCTGGGGTTTTCCTTCCCTTTTGACAATTTCAGGCAATTCCAGGGTCACACCGATGGAGCCAGCTGTATTGACATTTCTAATGATGGCACCAAGCTCTGGACAGGTGGTTTGGACAACACGGTCCGGTCCTGGGACCTGCGTGAGGGCCGGCAACTGCAGCAGCACGACTTCACCTCACAGGTAGGCGTCTGTGCCTGTGACAGGTCCAGGGCATGGCTTAATGAAACATGTCATATGCTGAGAGAAGGGCAGTTCACTGGTTGTGGTGATGCCATTTGACTCCAGGTTACTTTGGGTTTACCCATTTGATGTTGGTTTCCTCCTGTACCATTCAAACTACCTTGATTTTCATCTTGATTTAAGTAGTGTCCCCAGAAAGGGCAAAACTTCTGGTTAAAGGAAGCATGTCTTCTGGGGCCACCACCACCGTCTCCTGTTTTAAATCTAGATTTTTTCCCTGGGCTACTGCCCAACCGGAGAGTGGCTTGCAGTGGGGATGGAGAACAGCAATGTGGAAGTGTTGCATGTCACCAAGCCTGACAAATACCAGCTGCATCTTCACGAGAGCTGTGTGCTCTCACTCAAGTTTGCCCACTGCGGTAAGCAGGCTCCTTTTACCCATTTTCTGTCGGCCACGATCATTCCTTCTGCCCTCCTGTTGATTTCATTCCAAGTTAGATTCTTTAGTTCAGGAATGTATCCCTCTCCAGATTGTATTAATTTCTTAATGCCATGTCATGTAATTTTCTCACATTAATCCATTTACCCTTAGCAGAAGTATAAATGGTTCATTAAGTCCACGCGGGTGGATTTTTGAAGAGAAAAGAAACTCTTGTTTGTTGGGGGAGGGACTTGTGCATAGATTGATGTTCTATAAAGCACACATCAGTTGTTCAACAAAGTAACATGAACATTACCTTTTTCAAAACCCTCTTCCGGTAGGCAAATGGTTCGTAAGCACTGGAAAGGACAACCTTCTGAATGCATGGAGAACACCTTATGGGGCCAGCATATTCCAGGTAACGCCGAGCTTACTTAGCTGCCACTGACTGTGTGCTCCCCGAACTCTCTGTGCATCTGCTCAGATTAATAATGCACATAGCATGTTGCAGTTCAGAGCTAGCACCATTCCCACTGTGCAAGGATGAGAACTGCACCTGGGGCGGGGGTGGGGAGGATCACAACACAAGTCCTGCAGCTGGGGTCACTCCATTTCCTCTGAGGCCAGAGCCAGAGCCGAACCCAGTGCTCTGTTCGCTGGCTCTGCGCTCTGCACCCTTGGTTCTTTTCACCTGTCAGAGTGGAATTAAAGACTCTGTGTGTGTGTGTGTGTGTGTGTGTGTGTGTGTGTGTGTCAGATTTTCAGTTTACTTGACCAAGTGGTTCTAAGTCATCTTAGGGTAGATTAAGTCAGTTGAATCCAGAAATATTCATTGAGAGAAAATATGTAAGATAATCAGCAGGACAAAAATAACTGATACTCTAGCTTTGCGCAGTGGCAGTATCGTAGCCAATGAGGTTTATCCGAGGCGCGATTATTGCTAATTGAAAAATAACTGATACTCTAGCTTTGCGCAGTGGCAGTATCGTAGCCAATGAGGTTTATCCGAGGCGCGATTATTGCTAATTGAAAAATAACTGATACTCTAGCTTTGCGCAGTGGCAGTATCGTAGCCAATGAGGTTTATCCGAGGCGCGATTATTGCTAATTGAAAAATAACTGATACTCTAGCTTTGCGCAGTGGCAGTATCGTAGCCAATGAGGTTTATCCGAGGCGCGATTATTGCTAATTGAAAAATAACTGATACTCTAGCTTTGCGCAGTGGCAGTATCGTAGCCAATGAGGTTTATCCGAGGCGCGATTATTGCTAATTGAAAAATAACTGATACTCTAGCTTTGCGCAGTGGCAGTATCGTAGCCAATGAGGTTTATCCGAGGCGCGATTATTGCTAATTGAAAAATAACTGATACTCTAGCTTTGCGCAGTGGCAGTATCGTAGCCAATGAGGTTTATCCGAGGCGCGATTATTGCTAATTGAAAAATAACTGATACTCTAGCTTTGCGCAGTGGCAGTATCGTAGCCAATGAGGTTTATCCGAGGCGCGATTATTGCTAATTGAAAAATAACTGATACTCTAGCTTTGCGCAGTGGCAGTATCGTAGCCAATGAGGTTTATCCGAGGCGCGATTATTGCTAATTGAAAAATAACTGATACTCTAGCTTTGCGCAGTGGCAGTATCGTAGCCAATGAGGTTTATCCGAGGCGCGATTATTGCTAATTGAAAAATAACTGATACTCTTGAAACTTACAGTTTAATTCGGTTTTGGGTGTTTTTTTGTTTTGCTTTTATTTATTTTTTTTTTACATTATGAGCCTACAACCTTTTAAATGATTCTAGCCAGCACTTTTATTTTTAATGAAATTGAAATACTAGAGTATATTGTTTATAGTAAGTGCAAATATTACAGCTTATGGGTATATGCGGTCATTAATACAGATTATTAGTTGTAATCAAAAAAGTTTTGAGAAACACTGGGTCTGGGTTAGCCGTGTGTTGTACATTGTTTTGTTCTGTTTTTAATTGCCAGCTAGGACGTGTGCTCACCAGAGAGAGAAAGACAAACAGAGAGGGAGGAAAGCATCTCCCAATGGGGTGTGGGCATGCATGTACATACATCTGGTATATGTTTCAAGTCACCAGGACCAGGAATCAAACCACAGCCAGCCATGTAGGCTCTAGCTCACTTAACCAATAGCTACAGGACTGGCCCCATATATTTATTTAGTTAATTAATTTATTTATTTGTAGGTAATTATTTAATTTTTTATTTATTATTTTTATGTTTTAATTCACCAGAGAGAAAGTAAGCAAGCCGCTCGGTGTGGGACTCAAACCACAAGGCAAGCCATGTGGGAGTCTAGTGCCTTAACCACCACACCACCTGTTGGTCCTCATAACTTTTATTTTTTAAGCATTCGTGTTATTCAGAATCCTGGTGAAATTCTGTGGGTATTTTGTTTGTTTTCTCCTTTAAGTTTGCTGGGATATATGTGCTTGCCAGAGAATGCAATGAGAAAGCATCCCCCGCCCCCCCCTCAGGAAGAATGACCACATCACCATCCTGTCTCCTCCTTTCTTCTCTTGGCAGTTTTGGGCACAGATATGCATATGCCCAGTGTTTTTTTCCAAGCTGCCAGGTCCAGGACTCAGACCACAAAGTTGTAGTTGTCCATGTGAGATCCAGCCACCTCAACCACCATGGCTACCAACTGGCCTGGGTGGGCGGTTTTTTTTTGGTCTTTTATTGTTTTGTTTTTCACTGATCACAATTCACTTCAAAGTTAACTTTGGTTTCTTTATAGTAAAGACAGAAATCTGGCTGTTTTTTTCTTTTGTTTTGTTTTTTAATTTTTTTAAATATTTTTTAGAGGACCCGGAGGGAGTCATACCTAGAAACATTAACAGAACATTTTGACCCATTGATAACAGGGTTTTTTCTATATCTTATCTCTGGTATAGTAGTTTTGTGATGTATATTAAGCCTCTCTGTCTTCGTTAAAGTACTTTTTCTTTTAATCTCAACAATTAATCACCAACCTAAAAATTACAAAACGCACCTCTAACTTAAAAGCCCCCACTTCCACCTTTTTGGGCCAGACCAGTGTAAAAACTCTTTACTAAATTCCAAACGTTGTCTCATATTCTCACAATCAAGTAAAAGGAATCCCTGTACCTGGTCACCCCAAAAAAGACATATTTGCCTCTCCTCTGGGTCTAGGTCACTCATATTCATGCTTAAAAATAAACCACATTAATTATTTTTGCAGAGTTGGTTATTTCTGTCGACAATAGTGTACTTGGAGGTGGTATACTAAACTCCGAGTAATGGTACATTTTTCTCTTAAACTAGTAAACCCCTTTCCTCTTTCAGATTTGTGTTGTGTTTTTGTAGTGGGAACATTAGACTTTCTACTAGGGACATTTTTATTTTCCCTATCTCAAAAAGAGTACGTGTCCAAGGTCATTTCCCATGTGTTCTATCACCTGAACTCTGCTGCATCCCTCTGAGGTGGCAGACAGGAAGTGTCTTTTCCTGATAACTACTGTAGAGAAACTGAGGCTCACACAGGTTGAGTGACAAATCAGTGTTGTGTACTCTACATACCTCCAAAGTATCTGATGAAGTTGAGCATTTTTCAGATTAATAACACCTTCCCATTAACTGTTTGGAGAACAGGATTCGACATAGGGCCTTTCCTGAACAGACATGCCTGCCGACCTATTTTAGGACAAGAGCCTCCAGACTAACTGGGGTGTCCTCAACAGTGGATCTGACCTAACTTTGCTGGAAAGCAGGTGCTGTGTCTGCCGTCGGGGCTCCAGAGCATGTTACATTTGCATTTGCTTCAAGTCCTCCAGTGCTACCTCTCAGTATCCTTAGGATTTTCTTTCTTTCTTTCAATATTTTTCTTTTGTCATGATAGAGCATGTGCGAACAGGTGCGTAAGTGAGAGAGAGGAATGAGTACCCTGTACGGGATCTGGTCACACTTCTGTCCGAGCCCTCCAGCCCATTGGATCTTGAGTTTTTGCACACGTACCTGATGTGTTTCAGGCTGGCTGGGCCAACGCCATCCAGACTGCATTCTTCATGTAGGAACTGGCTTCTCTTGGGTAGTCCGTTACTATGGAGCCAGCCCAGGGCAGTCTTCCTTATTTAACATTTTTATTATGTTTCTTTCCTAGTCCAAAGAATCCTCATCGGTGCTTAGCTGTGACATCTCTGTGGATGACAAATACATTGTCACTGGCTCTGGGGACAAGAAGGCCACAGTTTATGAAGTTATTTATTAAGGACAAATCTTCATGCAAACTGGACTCCTCTCCTTGTAGCACTTTGCTCTCTCATCCTTTTTGTTCACCCCTGCCCCCGCATCTAAAACCAAGGATTTCAAATACTCATTGCAGTTGTGGAGTTCAGTTCCCTTCTTTAATCCCACTTCTACTTGCTATTAAATTGTGAATACTCATTAAGAACCTGTGATACCAAATCTTCAGCTATCTACTTGGAAGAACATGGAATAAGCATACTTAACAGTGAACGGGATCTTTAATTATGTATTATATCTGTAATATATTTATTTTGTTTAAAGAAGGCTTTCTAACAATGACTGACTAAATAAAGCTGTCTGCTCCTGCATTGATAATGAAGGTGCGTTGTATTTGATACCCCTCCCCCCCTTTTTTTGGTAAAGGAGGGGAAAGGAAGGTTTAAAATAATAGATTAAAAATGTCACTAAATGTAGACTAATGACTGTATAGAGATGTGAAATGTATAATTACACATGGAAGCAATATGTTGCTGTATTATTACTGGGTTTATTTTTATCTCCTGCTTATTTTAAAGACATTTGGAAATTTGGCCAAACAATGAAACTATGACCGTCCAAGTCATATTAATTTGAGTCTTTTTAGACAACTTTAACCAATATATCTATAGTTTTAGATTATATTCAGTAAAAGTCATTGGATTTTTTTTTTTTTTGGACTTGTTGACAAGTGTCTTTGTAATATGTTTTTAAACCCCCTGGTTTTTTTTTTTTTTGTTTTTTTTTTTTTTACTGTATTATAGACAGGAAAACAAATTAAACTGGGCCTCAAAGAGAGAACTTAATCCCTTCTGGGTATTTTTGCCACCTCTCTTTGTAAAGGGTGGTGTGTATCTTTGGGCAATTTTGTTGTTATGAGAAATGATAGGCTATTTTGTGGCATGCTCTCTGGGAGCTGCACTGATATAGGGAGGGCTCCCACCGCTGTGCAAGTCAAGTCTTTTATAAAACAAGGACAGCAGAGGAGAGTTTGCAGATACCTCCCTCTGGAAAACACAAAGAACGGACTCTCTCCCGAGATGCGGACTTGCTTTCTTTCCTTCCGGTTCTTTCCATGTCTTAGTTGGATGTCCCAGAAATGGACACAGGCTGTGCCATTGTGCCAGAAACATTGTGTTCTCTTTTATGTTGTTGTTGTTGCTGATAGGCTATTATATGGCACTCCTTTTTTATTATTATTATTTTTTGTTAGGGCTCTCACCGAAGTGTATGTCAAAGATACCTCCCTCTGGAAAACACAAAGAACGGACTCTCTCCCGAGATGCGGACTTGCTTTCTTTCCTTCCGGTTCTTTCCATGTCTTAGTTGGATGTCCCAGAAATGGACACAGGCTGTGCCATTGTGCCAGAAACATTGTGTTCTCTTTTATGTTGTTGTTGTTGCTGTTAAACTATAATATGTGACTCCTTTTTTATTATTATTATTTTTTGTTTGAATGCTTTAAAAATCTTTTAAGTCTGTGGATCTGCTGATGTACAGTGCCTTTGCTGCTATGGATCAAAATCAAAAGAACCGTGTAGATAAACTTTATTGTATAAGTAGAAAATTACTTAATTTCATACTAGAAATGGATGGATGCTGCAAGTTGAAATGGACTGTCCATTGACGTTCCTAATGTGGTAGCAGAACAAAACAATGTGTCTTAAGTGCTTAGTGTTTGATGTCCTTAACAGTTTCGTAAAAACTCTACAGTGTAGAAAGATTTTGATACTAAACTGTGCATTGTACATAGTTCTACTGCATTGTATTGACCACCAGTCCTTCTATAATGGTAGATTGTTTGTGCATTCAGACTTTTAAGCATTAAACATAAATAACTTCTAGTATGCTTATCTAATTCTTTTTCTTTCTGCCATTCCTAGATTTTAGAAATGACTAGTTATATTCCTGATAGAGTGATGATAAAGTAATGTGGGTTTTTTGTTGTCACTTGTAGATTTTTTCCACTCAAGAGGCGCTAGTAATGATAACGATGAAGTTGCCAGTGATGGCACAGTACTGTATATTTATTGAACACCTCTTCGATTCATAAAAATGCTGTCTATCAAAAAATAGTTATCACATCACTCCAAACTTTGTTCCTGGAGAGCTGCACCGTTCAATATGGTTACCACTAGTCATTGGATAGCTATTTCACATTAAATTATATTGGAAATCCAGTTTATGGAGCACTAACTACATTTCAAGTTTTAAATAACTACACGTGGCTCAGGCTCCTTAGGAGAAATTTCCGTTACTGCAGCAAGTTCTGCTGGACCAGTGCTGCTTTCAGAGTTAGACCATTGCCATCCATTAGATTTGGGAGTCATTTCCAGCATAACAAATACATCGACATTTTTGAAAGTTCTAGGTATTTTGGGCTGCTTGCTGCTGGTTAGTTCGTGATGATTCAGCATAGTTTAATGACTTCTGAACTCCTGGACTCAAAATTCTCTTATTTTAAGGATTGGCTGAGTAGAATGCTAGGATTGGGATTCACCAAGGTGACTTGGGTGATTGGCTATTAAGTGTCAACTTTTTTCCCCCGGTGAGAGTGTATATTCACAGGAGAAAGCATTCTGCAAGGGGAGTGGTCATGCTACAGTCCCTTCTCCCTTTCTCCCTCCTTTCGGGATTTTGGGCACACGAACATGAGCATGGTGTGTTTCTCAAACTGCGGGATCCAGGACTCGACTACGCAGTTGGCTATGTGAGATCTGGCTGCCTTCACCCCAGGCTGCAAAGCCAGCCTGAGATAACCAGTTCTAGGTGCTGTGTTTCTAGAACATGGAGCTCATCAGCTCGGTTGGAAGCAGCACTTCCAGCATGAGGCATGCGTGCTTTACGGCAGATGCTGGTACACAGATGGTGAGAGCCAGCTGAAAGTCAGAAAATTCAGGGTAAGTGATTGTCTTCAAACGTGGTTCTAGGCAGGATGACGTTTATTTGGACTGATGGGAAGGGATAGTGTTGAATAATCTGTTCAGAAACACACTTTGCTAGGTAGTCACCAAGCATATCATGCTCTCAGGTTTTTCACAGCCTGGTTCTAGAGATTCAGAAAGCCAAAAGGAAGAGTCAAGTCTGAGGAAAATACTAAGGCATTGGGGATATCTACACACCACAGAGCTTGTGGGTTCAAGGAGGATAAGGGCAGGGAATGTGGTTAGCCAAGGCAGCCACACAGAACAGAACTGGCCTAGTGGACTGACAATGGGTCTGGCATTGCCCTAACCAGAGCCTCTGATTCTAGGTGGCTTAGAAGAGGAGAAGGGGGGTAGTGACTCCTCGTAGAGTGGCATGTGCAGGTCCACCCGCAGCATCATGTGGCCTCCACTGAGGGCTCAGTTTCCTCTCTTGAGACATTGCCTTCTCTAGCACAGGAACTGTATTCAACTTGCCACTAGAGTCCAGCTTAGTAACATTAGGTGGGTTGTAGGGATTGAGAAGATAGCATAGAAACATTAAGTTCTTTCCGTTTTTTAAAATATCCCTTGATGTATTTGTGTGCGTGTCTTTGAGATTTTTTATAAAGTGATAGAGTAAAAAGTAACTGGCATAAAAATCTTGGGCCTGGCTTGATCTGCACAGAAGTTTGATGTCGTTATTACAGTTTTTAGAATAATCACAAATTCAATTCTTAGATTTATCATAGTTTTTGCCCTAAGTTTGGTTTTATAGAATCTGAAGAACAAAATAGGAATCTCACTGAACCAGAGAAAACTTACACTGAGAAAATAGTAGAAGACTGACTATATCAACTATCAAGACAATAGAAGAAAACTCAAGACAAAACGAAAGCCATCAAGACCTTACTGAAACTGGTGTATCAGATGAAGAGTTACAGACATCAAGATCTCAGAATTTTTATGAATACGCACCTCACTTTGGGCCAGTTCTTGGCAAGGTGGTTTCAAGGTCAGTGAGCTGCAAGAGATGGAGCCATGTTCCAGAATGGTAACCACTGTAACTGACTGCAGCCTCAATAGCATCTGCAAGTGGTTTACAATTTCGAAGCCACGGAATATCCAGAAACTCGGTTTCTTATCATCTCACACAACCATGAATTTCTGGTATTCTGCTGCCAAGAAGCGGGGAAAATTGATGTTCCCCAGCCTGAACGTGGCATTTTGGACAGAGGTGCCTTGCAAATGCCAGCCTTGTAAACAGCCCATTGTGATACCCTCAGCTGTCAACTTGGCCACTTGCTGCACGCTTCGATCTGGAGTTTCTTCACTGGTACTGTCCTAGATCAAAATGTTCAACTTCAAGTGTTTGTCAATTGATGTTTTTAGCAGTTGGAAGGAAATTTGTTCCAGGATTCGTTTTCTAGCATTGAATAAGCATTGTGAAATTATAAAGGTTGATGCAAAAATGTGTTTCTTTGATATCTCATGCTCTTATTTCGGAAGCTACCTATCTCCTAGGCAACTTACAGATTTGAACTCTTCAACTATGAGCTCTGGGTCCTGCTCTCCCTTGGTTTCCTTATTGGGGTCTGAGCAGTCGAATGGCAGCTTATAATCATCCCAGTGTTAGAGCAGTTTAATAGCAATGCTGCCACAAGGGCAGAAAGAACTCCTCCCTATATTATAAGCTGCTGTTGCAGTTTTATTTGAGTTTCATTTGGGTTTTTGTCAGAGATGACAGAATCTTGGGGATCCTAGGTAGAAACTAGCAGGGGAGCTGGGCTCTAGTTTACCTCTCCCACAGAAAGGAGATTCTCAGCCTGAGTGAGAACTTAGGTATTTGGCCTGCAGAGAAGAATTCCCACGGGGTCGCCGTTAGAGGAAAAATAACACAATTTTTTTTTTTTTTTTTTTTTTTTTTTTTTTTTTTTTTTTTTTTTTTTTTTTTTTCTAAAACTTCTGTTTGATCCACAGCAAGCCTAGACAGGACAGATGCTGAAATCTTGAATGTACACAAAAGAACACCAAGGATCAGAAGAAAAGTGACTTCCTCCAACTCTGTAACCCAGAGCTCCTGACCCCAGTCCAGGGTTCTGTGCAGCCTGCCCAACATGGCAGGTCAGAACAGAAATGGAAAGGGAGGTTCAGGACATTTGTACCTCATAGCTTTTGTCCCTCAGTTCTATGAAAGTTAAGTGGCTTGAGGATTTAGCATCACAGAACCTCTTGAAAACCCCATGAGTCGCAAGTTGTCTTCTTAGTTCCTGTGTTGTGTGTCCCTGCAGATGACTGAAAGCGGTACCTTCAGTGCAAACACTCTCTGGAGTATGGTAGATGCCGCTGTGTGTGACCTGACCCTACTCAGATCCTACTGCCTCAGGCGAGGAGCCCACCCCATTAACCTTACCTTGTGGGTTTATGAGAACATCCAGAACTAACAAGTTCTATGTTATTCTGGAAGACTTAAGCTCACATAAATGCCACACTTTATTTGGCTTGGGCCTGGCACAGTAAACACATCCACACCAAGATATTTGTGAGGGATTTGAATTTTGAGGATTTAAGCAGCAAATTTTGCACGATTTAGGTGAGGGCTGAACTCAGTTTTGCACTGGGCTGAATGTCCCAGTGTTTTTGAATAGCCCAGCATTTCCTCTTAGCCTTAGCAAGCAGTTGGCCATTTGCTCTACTAGATACCTCTACTGCCTTCCTTAGAAACTATTTGGTTATTTATTTGTTTTTAAATAGTCATACTTGAATCCCGGCCATATCTTGGGTCACATAGCAGGAAGGACCAGTTGAGCTGTTGTGTTTTGTTTTTCCCTTCCAGGAGTCTAGAAAGTAGCTGAGAATGAGTTATTGGTGAGAACTAAGTCGAGTAGGTTGCTCCGGGCATCGTGATTCTGGGGTTGGGGGTTGGGGGGGAACAGCAACACAGGTACTAGGAAAGGCACAGCGAGAAATAAATGAGGGATACAGCGACGCCCCAGACCACTAAGATACCTGATCATCATTTGAACAATTTAATTCAGAGAACTTTGAGA